AACCCCCCCCCCCCGTTTCAGTAAAAGGCACAAAAAAAAAGGCTGTTGGAAGCCGTGTGTGTTGATTGGTTGATTGTTATAGACTGGCTGTTTCCTTGAGCAAACAGCTTCAGCTCTCTGGGCCTTCGACTTTCTCATGTAGAATGAGGGAGCTACAGGCACTCATCTCAGAGGTTCCTTCATAGAGCCGCACTATACTGACCTTCAAGTATTAGCTTTTCTCATTGGAAGAGGGATAGGGCAAGGTCAGTCAAATTAAAAGAAGTCTGAAAAGCCCAGACCTGATAATCAGGATTTCTGAACCTGATGATGCTGCTTGCAAATCCTTCCCTTACAGTATAGCAACAGAAAGCTCAATTGCTTCCACTAGGTGGCTTTGGGATATTTGGCAAGTCACTTTCCTTTATGGTGTTCGTTAAGTTGGATTGCATTGTTTTAAGATCCCACTCTACTTTTTAAAAAATCTCATGAATCAAGTCATCTGATTCTTTACTGGTGTTTGTCTGATATGAACTGTCTAGTTTTTAAGATGCCCCTTCTTTGCAATCCTGTATTCTAAGGAGCCTTAGACTCCCCCATATGCAATAACCAAATACTCTTCTCTGCTCTAAGGAGCCATCATTCCTCATATGCAGTAACCAAACAGTCTTATCACACATGAGGTAACACATGCTGTTGAGACTGCCTGTGAAACACAAATACCCAAAATTAACCTTGTGATCTTGATCTGTGAATGCACAGAATTCAGCTGTTGGAAGTTTAAAAAAAAAAAAAAACTCTGGCTGGGCACAGTGACTCATGCCTGTAATAACAGCACTTTGGGAGGCAGAGGCGAGAGGACTGCCTGAACCCATAGGTTTGATACCAGGCTGGGCAACATGGCAAGACCTCATCTCTACAATAAGTCAAAAAATTAGCTGGGCATGGTGGCACACGACTGTAGTTCCAGCTACTTGGAAGGCTCAAGTGGAAGGATCACCCGAGCTCAGCGGATTGAGGCTGCGGTGGCCTTGAGTGTGCCATAATGTCTAGGTGACAGAGTGACTCTGACTCAAAAACAAAAAAACAACAAAAAAAATGTTTTGGAAATGTATTAGTGGGCTTCTTATGCTTGGAGAATATGTCTTTTGTTAGGTGATAAAGGTTTCTGTGCCCCAGTAACATGTGGTATAACATGTGGTGTGTGCTCCATCTTCAAGTTGGAATCTTCAGTTATACTTTAGGTTCTTTATGAACAGCAATGTGGTTTGGTTGAGGCTGTTTTAAGGAACATGTAATAAAATCAGTCAGCATTGAGGACTCCTCCTTCATTTGGGTCTTCTCACTGGAAAACTTCATATGGTCTTTCTGGCCAAATTGGTTAAGAATGTTGGTTAACCAAGTTGGTTAAGAATGAGTGGAGGCTTGGTGCGATGGCTTATGTGATCCTCCCACTTCATCCTTGCGAGTAGCTAGGACTACAGGCGTGTACCACCATGCCCAACTGTTTAAAAAAAAATTTTTTTTTTTTTGGTGGAAATGGGATTTTGCTTTCATCCAGGCTGGTCTCAAACTCCTAGCCTCAAGGAATCCTGCCTTGGTCTCCCAAAATGTTGAAATTACAGGCATGAGCCACCATGCCTGGCCAGGTTATTTCTTAAAAGTATTTTATCGGTGGCTCAGCCTGTAATCCCAGCACTTTGGGAGGTAGGTGAGAGGATTGCCTGAGTCCATGGGTTTGAGACCAGCCTGGGCAAATTGGCGAGACTTCGTCTCTACAATAAAAAATAAAAAGTTAGCCGGTAGTTCTGGCTACCTGGAAGGACTGCTGGAGCCCAGCAGGTCAATGGTGGGGTGGCTGTGAGTGTGCCACTGCACTCCAGCCTGGGCGATGGAGTGACTCCAACTCAAAAAAAAAAAAAAAAAAAAAAAAAAAAGCATTTTGTCATGGATATGTCCAAACACACAGAATTGTACAGGGAAGAGTAAAATGAATCATTACCCATATTCAACAGTTTTCATGATATGGGCATTCATTATTTTATCTATACATATTTCAGAATGCCTTTCAAAGAACGCTTATTTTCAGTTCTTCATAAATCAACTCCCATAAAATATTTGTGGGCAAAAAAGTTTTCACATGTAATTTTTAGTGTTAACAATTTGAGCATTAATATTCACTTTTCTTCCTACTAGGGATTGGTTTGGCTGAAAGACGAAGAAGCAACCCATTGTAAACTTTGTGAAAAGGAATTCTCACTCTCTAAGAGAAAGGTAAGGGAGGTAGAAAGTGAGCACAAAGATTTTGGTGCAAAAATGCTTCTAACTTTATTCATAAAGTTTTTTTCTGATTTTTTTCCATTTACTAGCACCACTGTAGAAACTGTGGGGAAATTTTCTGTAATGCCTGCTCTGACAACGAACTGCCTCTGCCTTCTTCACCAAAACCAGTCCGGGTCTGTGATTCCTGTCATGCGTTGCTCATTCAGAGATGTTCATCTAACTTGCCATAGACTCCTGCCCTACATCTTTATGTATGAAAGTACACACAATGAATGTTATGACATGTATATACAAAGTATCCAGACAACTCTTCTTAAACAGCTTCCAGTCAGTATTGGTACCAGTTTATCTTGCTCATATTTAACTCATGGGAACAGAAGTAGTATGCTTTGATATTTCTTTTCCCATTTACTCAAAAAAGAATTTTCAACACAGCATGTTTTAAAATAACTTTAGCCTACTTTTTAATTGATGTAATAATCATATAACCCTAACTCCATTGAAAGGCCAGATAGCATAGTTAACACACATTTGCCTTATCTTGTGAAAGGACTTTTTAAAAATAAGGCTTCAGATTATTTCATTCTTCCGAACTGTCAAGTTGATATTTGATGGTGCCTGTAATTCCTTAAATGCACTTTAAAGCTTCATGGTTCTCAGAGACTGGAAATGCATAAAACTGTATAGAAGTAATATCCCAGTTCAACAGATTTTTCATTATCTTGGTTGATTTCAACTATATTTATTTGCCCTTTCTGTCCCCTTCCCATTGGTCTCCTTTGCATTAGAAAGGACTATTTTACGGAATTTCCTTTTAGTCTTTTCTAAAATCTGTTATTGTGCTTACTGATGTTATCTTTCAGATACATGGATTAAATTAAAAGGGGCATTATTTGGCCTCGACTTTTTCCTTCTGATCTTGAAAGCAAGTTCCACATACCCATCATCCTTTACCTTGTCACTTGCCAATCTTCTTCCCATATGCTGTTGTCTAAATTGTTAGTTTTTTAAAGGGGAAACTCAGATCCCAACTCAAAGGTGAAAATAAATCTCTCCCCAGAAAACAATGTGTGTAATATTGCAGGGGATTTATAGGTTCACTATAAAGACTTTCTCCTCTAAGTATTTAAAATGAGGAAGAAGTCAAAGCTTTGCCTTTGATATTACATAGACTTGAGTCATTAAAAAAATTTTGCATTAATATTTCCATTGGAGTAATTTTTAGGAAGCATTACAGTTAGAGTGGTCTACCAGTGTATGTCCACTGGTAAAATTTCACCATGTCTACCAAGCTCCTCTATGCCAGAAATGTTGAGATGTGATTTCTGCCCTACCATGAAATACACGTACATACTTGAAATATTTCAAGCTGACTCAACACTAATCCAGTTGTTTATAGCATACCAAGAATTAAATTTGTAAAAATTACCTCTGTATAGTTACTTAAACAGTAGTATCACGTTTCCTGGTTTTTTAAATCTAATTTTCAGCCATGCACTTTAAATTTGTGAGCCTATTTATTAAAAATGAGAAGTTTGCATTACATTTAGTGATTAATCATAGACCTCTCCCCTTCCAAGATGGATGTATTGAAACTGAAGGATCTTTTTTCTTCCAGTACATACTTTGAGTTTTAAAATTATTTAATATTCTAAATAGCCAAAGTATTAAACAGATATTTTACTTGAAGATCTGTTTTCTTCAGAACCCAAATTTCCAGTCAATTTTTGAGGCTAATTTCAGTTAATCTGACAAACAGATTTTTAGATGATCTTTCTTGAATATTGGTAGAATTGTCCAAGATAGGAATTATATTCTTGAACCATTTTGTATTGATGGAATGGATTAACATTTTTATGATTGTTGAACTTGAGAATAACTGTATAAATGAAAATTTTCAAATAGGTTTTTTAAAAAAATTACTGTGCCTGGAACAAATTTTAAGATATAACTTAAGTTGTTTAAATTCCAAGGCAAATTTCATTCAACAAAATAACTATTATTTTTAGTCATCCCCTTAAATTTCTCGTCATTTAAAACTCATGTCACCACCGATTTGGGCTTTTTTAAGAGAGCTTTTGTGACAGCAGCTTGGTTTATGTAGTTTGGTCTTGTTTAAAAACCATTTATACAGCCAGGCACAGTAGCTCATGCCTGTAATCCCAGCACTTTGGGAGGCTGAGGCAAGAGGACTGCTTGAGCCCATGGGTTCGAGATCAGCCTGTGCAATCTGGATTGACCTCATCTCTACAGTAAATTGAAAAATTAGCTGGGCATGAAGGTGCAAGCCCATAGTTCCAGCTACTGGAAGGCTGAGGTGGGAACCCAGCAGATTGAGGCTGTGGTGGCTGTGAGCATGCCCCTGCACTCCAGCCTGGGCAGAGAGACTCAAAAAAAAAAAAAAATTTTTTTTTTTTTTTAATTTTTCTGTTACAAAACCTTCACAATTTGTATTTTGTGATTGTGATCCTGTATTATTTGCGTTTCAAAGTAGACTTCACATACCATTCCCTCACCTAGCCAGTACTACCACCACAATGCTATCATGGTGCCAAGGAATTGCAATTGTAATTCTTCTAACCTGTAATGTTTTAAAAATAAAATGTGAATTTTATAAACCAAATAAAGATTTGAAAAATTAGTCTACTTTAAATAGGCTGCTTTAGTTTCTAACATTGTATATTTTTACTGCTTACAGATTTTAAGAAGGTAATCTTAAGAAAATCGAAAGCACGTGATCTTCAAAAAGTATAGGTGGTAACGAACCCTATTTACATTTTTTAAATGTTACTTTTTTCTAGAGCAGGGTGTCCCGTAGGGGGGAAAAATGTAATTTTTAAGGGAAGCTAATTAAGAGAAGTGGGTATAAGCATTAAGATAAATCACTGCTTGAGTCAACAGGCTCCAAATATATAGAATATCACAGCCCCCTCTTCTAAGAGGAGTAATCACTCCTTATGAGTCACTTTATCTAATTTAATCTTCAGTTAGACATCACCTATATAGTTTCTTCTTCCAATTTGATTTATAATCAGTAACCAACACAAAGCATTCTAGGACAGACACCATACTATTATCTCCCACATTGACATTTATTACATTATTAACATTTCTGGTAAAACAAATAACAAGTTCAATAACTGAATTCACATTGACAGGTTTTATTTTGATCCATTAGCCAATTTGGAAAAAAAGCCATATTGATCAAAGGGATTTAAATTAAAAAGCACCTTTCCCTTGCTACATATAGTATTTTCAACTATAACTCCAAGCAGATACCAGATGCAAAATCCAACCGTAGGATTCTTGTTTTAACTATGACATGGACCTGTTGCATATGTTTTTAAAAAGTAGTCATTTATACAGTTATTTAAAAACCATATGCTCTGCTGTGCAGGAAACTGAAAATACATTTGTGAAAATTATACTCCATAGTAAATACCTATGTACTTACACTGAATTTTTGTCACTGAGAACCTTAACCTACTCTAAGACATCTTGAGATAATTACAACTGTCACTTTTTTGGAAACATTTTTTGGTACTTCGGTCAAGTGCTGAGGGGATTTTTCTCCAAAATCTAGGGCTAGAATTTAAGCTTCTAACATTCCAATCCCCAGGAAACAATTATGAATATCCAAAAATTCAGATACCTCTTAAGTCATTAACATTTCAGAGCTATGCTTGATAAATGATAACTAAGCCGGGTTCAGTGGCTCAGCCTGTAATCTCGTGCTTTGGGAGGCTGAGGTGAGTGGATTGCCTGAGCCCGTGGGTTCGAGACCCACCTGGGCAACTTGGCGAGACCTCATCTCTACAATAAATCAAAAAAATTAGCCGGCGTGGTAGCACGCGCCTGTAGTTTCAGCTACTTGGAAGGCTGAGGCAGAAGGATCACCGGAGCCCAGCAGGTCGAGGCTGCGGTGGCCGGGAGCGGACACTGCACTCCAGTCTGGGTGACAGAGTAAGACTCCAACTCAAAAAGAAAAAGAGTAACTAAAGCCACCTCATCTTTAGGCTTTGTATTTACAGTATTGTCCAGGAAGAATTAAAAAGTTACACTAATTTTTCGTCAAGCTCTATTCCTGATGTCTGCTTAAGACTTGCAGCTTATGCAGAAGTGAACCATTATCCTCTAAAATTACACCACACTAACTTCTTTTGGAGCTAATAGTAAAATACATCAACCCAAATCTTATGAAGGCAGCACATCTTTAGGAGTAACTAGTATATAAAAAGTATCAACATCAGTGGTTTGAATATAAAAATTTATTTTTAAGTCAAAGTATGCAACAAATAAAACCTACAGAAAACAGATTTTCCCATCACAATCTGTTGCTTTACCAAATAATATTTTGAAAACACATTCCTTCAGTCTTTATAAAGTTCTTAAAATACAAAAGAAATGAAATCTGTAAGAAAGTCTAGTAGACCAGATGTTGTTGCCAGGACATGTGTGTTGGTTATGCTTTCAGTACATCCCACGCCATCCACCTCCACTCATGCCACCTTGCCCATAGTAACCTCCACTGCCTCCACCACCACGGCCTTAAGAATAAAAGACATTAAGAATCACTGAGGAGATAGTCATACATAAGACATTAAAGTAGTATCTGCTTTACACATCTGCTTTACACACGGGGACTAAAACAAACTGAATTAAGAGATACGTACCATAACCACCCAAGCCATCAGGAGTGCCATATCCTCCACTGTAATTGTTCCCCATTCCCATTCTTCCAACAGATCCATAACCTCCTTGGTTATCTTAAAAAAAAAAAAAAAGCAAAAAGAAAAAAGTTTGAGGCTGATTGCCAAGTAGCTAATTCAACTTATTTAAAAAACTTTACATACCCATTCCATCTCTGCCGTAGCCTCCCATTCCAGAACCTCCCATTCCAGAGCCACCTCCAGGAGTAGAATTCAGGAAGAGTTCAATGTATCGATGTTCTTTAAGAAAAAAAAAAAAACGGGAGAAAGAACAATGGATCAAATTTATCAGTAAAAGGTTTTAAAAGGTCAATTAGCTTACATAAAGTATGCTCATCAATTCCTAGTGCAGTGATATTGGAGGCCAAATGATTTTAGATCCCACCAACTGCCATAAGTTACCTACAGAACCTAAAAAACTCTTATATGAGAAACATATTTTACAAACAAGTTCACATCTAGGAAGTAAGACAGCATGCCAAGAATACCACTTACGCATGTTATTTTTATCTTTAGACATGGCAGCTACTGCATCTTCATGTGTCACAAATTCTACATCTGCTTCTCCTGTTGCTCTGCCGTCAGCTCCAATATCAATATGAACTCGTATTGGATTTAGTGGTGAGAAGAACTAAAAATAAAACACTCATTACCTATTTTTCTACTCAGATTATTAAAAGTAAATATCACATATCTTGATTTTTCATCATCCATTAAAACAAACCTTTCCACTGCCCTGTGCTGCCAAATCAATCAACTACCGAGGTTCTGTGAATATAAGACTATAGGGAACTTAGGGAAAATGAAAATAAGTTTCTGCTTTTAAAAAAAAGCTTGCTGATATTAAACTTAAAAAAAAATATTCTCACTAGAAAACAGTTTACCTTAAACAGAGAAGTCTCAGACCCTACAACTAAAAGGGAATAAAGCCAAGCCCAAAAACCTTGATTCCCAAGAAGTATATTTCAAAATTGCTAGGCTGGGCATGGTGGCTCACACCTATAATCCCTGCGCTTTGGGGGGCCAAGGCAAGAGAATTGCCTGAGCCCAGGGGGTTTGAGACCAGCCTGGGCAACTGGGCGAAACCCTGTCTCTATAATAAATTTTAAAAAGAGTTGGGTGTGGTGGTGCATGCCTATAGTTCCAGCTACTTGGAAAACTGAGGTAAAAGGATCGCCTGAACCCAACAGGCGGCGGCTGCAGTGGCCGGAAGCGTGCCACTGCCCTCCAGCCTGGGCGACAGAGTGAAACTCCAACTCAAAATAACAAAACAATCCCACGAAATTGCTGTTTGAAACATGTCATCTGAAGCTTAGAAACTATGTAGCGAGAAACATCATGCTATGGAAAAGGGGAGTTTGCTGAACCTACTAACAGCTCCCAAAATGTATCACTTAGCTCTAATCAGAAACTAACCAATTTAAGCTATCCTTAAAGGCACCTGGAACTTAGGGCAACCAATAAGATCCAGAACAAATTATCTGAGTAAAAAAATTTTGTCTTGAGAGCCAGGCTCGGTGGCTCAGCCTGTAATCCCGCACCTTTGGGAGGCTGAGGTGAGTGGACTGCCTGAGCCCGCGGGTTCAAAGCCCGCCTGGGCAGTGAGACCTCATCTCTACAATAAATCAAAAATTAGCCGGGTGTGGTAGCACGCGCCTGTAGTTCCAGCGACTTGGAAGGCTGAGGCGGAAGGATTGACAGAGCCCAGCAGGTTGAGGCTGCAGTGGCCGGGAGCGGCCACTGCCCTCCAGTCTGGGCAAGAGAGTGAGACTCCAACTCAAAAAAAAAAAAAAATTTGTCTTTGGGTCTCTAATGCAACTATTTAATAGGTAAAGGATGGGGTGGCTATGACTGAACTTAGTGTATGAGCTAAAGTTCTGCCACTCCCTAGTCGATCTGAAACCAACTAGTTTCAAACTGCAGCATCTATTCCCCTTATTTCCAAATCCTCAGTTTGTCATACTATCTACACTAGAAAAGCCAAACCAAACCACTAAAACATATATTTATCACTACTCTATGCTGGTCAGTCTTTTACTGTATTCTTAACTGGAGTTTATGAATGTAGCTTCTTACTTGCTTGAATCCTATGTAGCTCAGCACACAATGGACACAAAAATATCCATCAACTACTAAAGATAAAGGTAGATCTATTTATATTCAAGGGATTTGACATTAAACTACAAAAATGAGAGCCTTAAGAATGCTTCAAAATTAGATTTTAATTGAGGATAACTATAAAACCACTAATAATTATTAAAATTACTCACATTAGCAATGTCATTTTCAGTTGCACGAAAAGGCAACCCTCTCATATGTACGAAATGGCCGCCATGAAAACCTGAACTTGCATCACCAGCTCCGCCATAGCCATGTCCTCCCATACCTGGAAAATAAAATTTGCCAGTTGTGAACTATGGAGTAGGATACAGGTAGAAAAGTATTCATTTTACACAAGGTATAAAGCCCTACATAGGAATGTAAGAAATATGCTTAAATTAATTTTTAAATACAAAGTACCCATATTAATTATAAGCTGGCAAAGAGGATACTAAAATTTGCCTCATAATAAAAATATCTTTAATATTTTACCTCTTCCATCTCTCATTCTGTCATCAAAGCCATCATTTCCATAGCCATAATTATTATATCCACCATAGTCATCAAAACCTCCATAACCTGTGTAATTTAAGGAGAATCAATGAATACATACTTTCAAGAGATAAAGTTATAATCTAGTTTACAAACATTTTGTGGTAAGTCATCTGTTTTAACAAACTTAATTATCAGAAGTTTGTAATTCCCAACTTATTGCATATGAAAAGCAATTAACATTTGATGAAAATATAAAATCTCAAAAGGATAATTTCAAACATGTAAATATCACCTGTATGCCAGAAAAAGTAAAAAATGCCAATATCTTCATTTTAATTCCTGTATAAGTCTTTTTAGGTGCCAATATGTGCATCAATCAAATCCCACAGCTGGCCATGGGAATCTGTTTTCATGAACAGGTTTTAAAACCTAGTAGGTACTGAAATTACTGCCATTTCTATATTTCTTGACAAAATGTCAGGAACATTAAGAAAATGACAACAGAACCTTTGTTCATTAGATACACATACCACCATCATATCCATCACCTCCTCGTCGCATTCTGTCATACATACTTCCACGCCCAGCTCCATAATAACCCCCTCTTCCTCCTATTGGTCTATCATATGGTCCCGGTCGCTGTCCCAGCAATCTTCTTGGTGGATCATAAAATCCTTTGATTTCACTCCTGCTACTTCTGAAGATCTCAATATACCTATTTAAAAATGTTTAAAGTACAGGTTTCAGCATAAATGTATTAGAGTAAATTAGATATTGGGCAAAATGCAGTAAGTTTTTCTATATCTAGACAGATAACCCAATTTAAGTTGCCTAAATACACTGTAAGTTATCATTTTTTACACCTACAAACTTAAATAATTAAATATTTAAGTTTTACATAGAAATTTAGTCATTTGAAAACAATTCATCAAATATGTACTTTTAGTTTGTTTCCTTTAGTACATGATAGGTGTTTTAAAGAAAACAGGTGATTATACAAAAACACTTATCAACAACATCCTACAAAATAGAAACAATCTAATTTTAATTTAACTATTAGCATTAATTCCCCACCCAAATCTGTAGTTTCCAAGTTAAATTTAGGTAATTATCAATTCTTTTAAACTACCCCAGAAAAATGTTATGGTTACCCCCCCATTTAAGCAATAGTGACCCACAACCCCCAAAAATAAAAATTTAACACCATCCCAAACTCTCCATCCCCACCTGTGCCCTATTCTTTCCTTGTGTTTCCCCAGAGCATTTTCTGCTATCTCCTTTGAAGCAAACTGCACGAAGGCCTCCCCTGTGCTTCTCCCCTGGTAGTCCATCGTCAATGTTATCCCATTTGGCACGATTTCCAACCCTTTAACCCAAGGACAAATAACCCCATCAAGGGGAACAGTGTTAAAGGCTGAAACATTCCCATCTGAATCAAATATTCAAAACAAGTCTAAACAAAACAAAACAAAACAAAAAAAGCTTAATTTCCCATCACCCCATAATACAACGAAAGATTTTTCAATTATTGGATTAAGTAAATTTTTTGCAACCAGTGTAAAAACACTGCAATTACACTCTAAAAGCCCACCTATATTACATAAAAAATAGCTACAAATCAAATTTAATTATGCTCCATATGCTAATTCATGGTTCATTTCATCACACACAATTATTCTCAATTATGTTACTGCACATTAATTAGTTTTTACATATCTACACATCCTGTATTGAATGTTAACTGGAGCACATTTCATATTTTCAATACACTAACCAAGATTATCATAGTTAAATTAAGTTCCAAAATCAAATGGGTTTTGCAAATTAAAAACAAAGTAATATCATACAAATAAAATTACAATACTACTAAACTTTGACTAATACTAGAGGTACCTTGAAAGAACTGAACTATTTCCTCTTTGCTGCAACCAAATGGTAGTCCACGAAGTCGTACTGTCCCATCACTAGCGTCATTTGGACCATTATGTTTCATAACCCAATCCATCTCAATACCGTTTGACTTAAATGCTATAAAAAATAAACAAGCACATAAAGCAGTCAATCAAAATACACTCTTATCAGGAGGTACTGAAGAAACACCTCTCAGAGGTGTCACAAGAGGAAATGTAACATGGGGCTTAGTGACTCCTGTGACAATGCCATGAACACAACAGTATACCAACTTTCTATTCTGGAATAAGGAATAGGCAGTGAAACCTGACCCCTTCGACCAAAAAGTACTGAGTTTCTTAGGATTATTTTCTTAATTTTAAGAAAACTTGCACAATTCTACTACCAGAGTCTTCAAATTATTTGAGCATGTCACCTGAATGTCAACTCTAGCCTTTACCTCATCTCTCAAATTTTCATCCACTTTTCAGATTTCATTATTCATCTGAATAGTTATGCAAATTCTTTAAAACTTGAATTATCCACAAGTCGCGTTTGATACTACTGTCCACTCACATCAAGAGCCTAAGCAAAAAATGCAAGAGTACTGGTTGATGTTGGAAAAGTATTACAAAAATCTAACCTTTCAAAATCACAATAATGTTGAACACATCAAACTGTCTTTTAAGGAGGAAAATTCTCATCTTTTTTGCTAAGTCTAGTTTAAACTCACCAAGAACAAGAGTTTTAAAATGACTGAGTTAATAACATTAAGTTTTAAAACTGAGGTCAAAGTCCTCTCAGAAAGTGAGTGCCTTCCAACAGTACCTGTGTTTTTGAAGCCACCTATCTGGAAATCGCTGGAGATAGTATACAGAAACCAGTTTACTCAACTGCTTTAACTTTTTAATCAAAGAGACTTAAACACGGACTTCAAAGTTTCCCCCGTTCCCTCCAACATGAACATGCCCACCCATCTCCCTTCCCCAGAGGTAACCAACCATCCTTTGTTTTAAAAATCCAAGAACATTTTCAAAAGAGACTAATGCAGAAGTCCTTCAGCTGCAGAAACTTACCAGAACCTTACAAATTTCACTATGCAGCTGCAGGAATTCTACTCACTTGCATAATTTCAAACCTTTTCCTCACCACCTCCTACCCTGCAAACAAAACAATTTGTTCACTTGATTCCTTTATGCTTGAGGATCGTACCTTATATCATCAGTATTCACTAATGCTTAATTTTCCGTGATCTAATTATTATTTGAGCATGTCACCTGAATGTAACATGGGGCTTAGTGTTAGCATCTTCAAAGGATAAAATTTAGAAGTAGCATCTTCAAAGGATAAAATTTTCCTAGAATTCATATAAAGTCCTAGGTTGCAAACTCTAGACAGAGAACCAAAATGGGAAGAATACAAATTTGTAACTTATGTTACATACAACTAATTCTTAACAACTAATACACAGTATCAACTTTTAAGAGGAAACAAACCCTGGGTTTGAATCCCTACTCTGCCACTCACTGGCTGAGCTACCTAGCCCCAAGCCAATTCCACTGTAAAATGCAGCAGTAGTAACTTACACCTCACTAGACAGTTACAAGAATTATTTAAAGTGCTTGCCTCATGGTAAGCATTCGCTGATGGCAACTGTTACTGGATTTTAAAGGGCTGGTTCTACAAAACCAATGAGATACACCACAACAAAAGATCTGAACCTTAAAAAGAGAGAAAAATAATTTGAGCCTTGAAAAGAACTAACGACTGTTTAATCATTTCCAAAGTCAGCAAAGGCTTTTAAGAGGCTAATACTATTTCAGAGAATAGAGAGACAGCCCCAAATCAGTTTGGAAAAAAAGTCCAAAGATGTTTGACAAACTATCATTTTCTTTTAAAAAAATGTGAGATAGCACCAACCTAAAAAAATAAGTGTTTCTTATAAAGGGTGATCTAAGAACAAAAAAGTGGAAAGGATCTAACATCAAATGTTACTTCCTTGTGAAAAATTTAAGAACCCTGCAAAGTCAATCTAATCTATTGTGAAAGGATTGTGGTACTTTTAAATCAAATGTTAGCACATTTTTTTCCTTCAATATATAGATTTGCATTTCAGGAAAAAATACCAAGGAAAAGGGCATGGAAACTGATCTTTACTATAAATCTTAGCATTTCACAAGAAAATGCTAGCAACCAAACTAGTTTTTATTTTTGGATCAGCCTATACAATAAGATCCATATGAAAACAACAAAGTATTGCCTATTAAAAAAAACACTAAACAATAAACACAAACTACTTTACAAGGTGATTCTCCATCCCATATGTGAGTAGCATATACAATAAAAGACAGCCTCACTCTACTACACCAGCAAAATTCAGAATTCTACTTACAAAAAAAAACAAGAAAAATTCAGGGCATGCAAAGGGACAACCTGCTTTAATACCTTTATAAAGCTGTCAGAAACTACCTAAACATAATTATTCAGGATAATCCATCTCACCTTTCTTTGCAACAATGTCATGGCTAATCACTACTCTGCTTTAAGAATTCTAAGTGTTAGCACCAATTAAAAATACCAGCAGTTAAAATAAGATAACTTTAGTCAACTTTCATGAAACTAATTTCCTAAATATTAAGTGAAACAAGTCAGTCACAAAAGGTCACATATGTTATGTTTCCATTTATATTCATAACTGTCTGAGGCTTGAGGGGAGATAGGGTGCCAGCATGGGGAATGTCTGACAGCTAACGGGTACCTTTATGGAATAAGTGTTCTAAAATTAGATTGTAGTGATGGTGGCACAAGTCTGCGAATGTTCTAAACCCCACTAAACAGTACATTGTAAATGGATAATGTTTATGGTATGTGAATTATATCCCAAAACTGTGAAGAAAGAACATCTAATGGAGAACTGAAATATAGAATTCTCATAACATGGAGGCACAGCTTATTTTCTCAAAAACAACAAAGATTTGATGCATCAATAAACAACCTAATAAATAATAACCCAATAATCAATAAAATGGTACCCTGCCTCGTGCAGTAGCTCACACCTATAATCCCAGAACTTTGGGAGACTGAGGTGAAAGGACTGCCTGAGCCTAGGGGTTGAGACCAGCCCAGGCAACTTGGCAAGACCTTGTCTCTACAATAAAAACAAAACAAACATCAACAACAACAACAGTGAGTCGGGCATGGTGGCATGCACTTGTGGTTCCAGCTACTCAGAAGGCTGAGGAAGGATCACCTGAGCCCAGCAGGTCGAGGCTGCAGTGGTGGCTGTGAGTGTGCCACTGCACTCGTGTCTGGGTGACAGAGTGAGACACCAACTCAAAAAAAAAAAAAAAAAAAAAGGGTACCCTAGTGGTCGTGAAAAACAAAAATGAACTTGGCCCCCAAAAAACGGTTATGATGTAACTTTAACTATAATGGAAATTTTACAACATTCATCCTTTCCAATGTGCTTGGCTCCTTTAGAAAAACTCTTAGACACACCTCTAATACCTTAAGGAGGTAAGGTCTCTAAAATTAGGAATGAGTTTAGTCAAATCAGGTTTTCCCTACTGCCATTCAGTCACCTGTTTACCAAAACAAGGACATCTAAAGACATTGTTATTTTAAAAGGGCAATTAGACAGACTTCCAGATATCGGTGCAGCTGAAAAAAGAGGGCAGAAGAAAGGTGTGTGATCTAATCCAGTTAGGAAAGTTACTGATCATTATCATATTCTACTTTATGGTGAAGTCTGAGCTATCTTTCCAAAAATCCACTAAAACCCACTTGACCCATTAACTTCACAGGTTAAAATTTTGGTAAACTTTTCCTTGGCAACCTTGACACAACATCATCAATAACAGGCAGGAGGTTTTTTCTGGTTTTGTCTTTTAGAGCTGTAAAAGTAGTAACAGACTTCTTGTAAAGATTTATATAAATGATTGGAAATGGGTTCTCAGGCCTTCCTCGTCCCTTCTGTACTGCCTTCAAGGAAAATTACAGATCCATCCACCACGTTTATGGTGTTTAGCTTCTCCGTTTAGTAGGTCTATACTACCTTGCTCGAAATACTGTTACAGTGTACTATACTCCTACAATTAAGGAGAAAAAAAAACTCTTTGTTACCAAAAGAAAATAAACTCTGCCTGTATTTTTAAGTACTTTGCTCCTACAGCCTTAATGCCAATTAGAAAAAAAAAAATCTCCGCACAAAACACAACTCGAGGAGATTTCATACTGAAAGAGAGTAGTGACTCAATTCCCACACACACACACACACTCTTACCATAACTGGTTGTGTTTTAACAATCGTTTCCCCAAAGTTATGAAACCCTTCAACAAATTCTACCCCGTATGCGCCAAACTACACAAACCCATTGCTAAGCCACCCGCCCCACCCGTTATCACAGGCGACCGGGCCCAGACGACCTGTTTGAAACATGCCCGTTTCACATCCCTATTTGGTAAGTCACCCACTTTCCTGCTTATAAAGTAATTAACCCACAAAGTCTTTATAAACGTTCAAGCGTGGAAAAACAACAACAAAAAAAACCCGTTGGAAAACGAGTACGTACTCTTTTCGAAGTTCCAAATCTGGACTATAAGGGCCGGCTAAGCGTCCTTTATTCCTCCCCGGAGACTTTCCGTTTATCTAGCTGCCCTAGAGACCAGAGAGCTAGGGAGAGCGCGCCCCTTCCCCCGCCCCGTCCGGCAGCCAAGCCTGGCTTAAAAACCTTCGCCACCGGGCGGCGGAATTACAAAGGAGGCCGTCTGCCTCCTTTGTCCTGGATTTGAGAGTTGAGCGCCTTCGTCGCCATGAGCTTTCCTCCCCCAGCTCCAGCCTCTCTCATCTTGGGAACCTGCGTCAGAAGCCGCTCGCAGTCCCGCCAGCCCAGGTAGCCCTGCCGAGACTGCAGAGGAAGGGAGGCCGCGGCGGGAGGCCGGGCCCCTCCGGCGCCATTTCCATCGGGAGCGCGCCCGGGAGCCCTGATCCTCCCCCCGCCCAGCTGCCCGGGCTATCCCTGCTCGCTTCACTCCCCACCCTCATCCCTCCCAGGGACCTCTGGCCACCCGCCACCCTCGGGCTTCTGAATCAGTTTTCGGAAACTGGAGAACAAAAAGTTAAAAAAGAAAAAAAAAAAAAAAGCAGGGAAGGGCGGGAAGCCGAAGCGGCCGCGCCACCGTACCCAAAATGGCGGAGGCCAGACCAGCAGGGGAAGAAGGGAAATGCTGGATGCCCCCACTTCGGGCCTCGGCGTCGTCCACTGAGTTCCACCTGAGCCAGTGCTCCCCTCGGCAGGCCGCCCTCCTTGAAGGGGGAGATGGTCCAGGAGGCGCAGCCCGGCCGCCTCCGAGCAGCGACCTCCACACGCCCCCCACCCCCAACCCTCCGGTCTCTCGCGTCCTCTCGAAACCACCGGCCCAACCTACCCCCTTTTACTTCTGATACCCTGTCAGGCGAAAGTGACGCCGACTGCGGTGCTCGGGGGGCTCAGTCGTGAAGAGGAAGAAGCCGTTCGCCTCGTGTAGCCCTAGCCACAACGGTCCTCCCAACCGTCTCCGGCGGCGGCAACCGCTTAGGGAGCTGCGCAGCAGAGCGACTGGCTGGGGGGGATGGGAGAGAGCGAGCGAGAAGGAGGGGGTGGAGCTAGAGCCCGAAGCCCGGCCAGCCCCGCTCTCGCGAGAGGAGAGTCGGTTCCGCCTCGGCGGGCCGTAAGAAGCGCGCTTGCGCGCTGCTCACTTGTTGGGGCGAGGCGGAACGAAGCCGCGGCGGGTCCCTTGAGGGAAAGAGAGAGCTGCAGCGCGCTCCGCCTTTCTTGCCTATTCTGCGTTCTCGGAGCCCACCGTTCTGTCCTCTCGGTGAGGTGACAGCACTCCTATCAGTGTGTTTTGGTCTCGCGGTTTGAAAAAGTGCTTTCACGATGGGCTCCGCCATGAGCAAATTCCGCGGAGGCCCCGCCCTTGCTCCGGTGTCCACAGCGGGGAGAGGGCGCCACGTGGTTGGCCTGGCACACGCGGGGAGGGCTTTTCTCGTCCACCATGTTTGCATTGTGCAGTAAAAATTAGGAGTGTTTCTCGGCTTCGAGGAAGCAGGTGTCACTAAGGCCCGATGTCGGCTCTCGGGCTGCGTTTTCTTCCCCGGCCCTGGTCCTGGCCCTGGTGCGTCCGGCCCCCTCCGCGGGCCTCGTCCAGGTGCGCCTCGCGGGCGCGGGCTTCTTGCTTGAATTCCTAGCCACCACGTCCCCCCTTTTCTGCAAATGCTTCTTAACTTTCTTCTCGCCTTCGCGTTTAATTTCATCTCTCCCTCCATTAAACCCCTAGTGACCAGTCGCCGACTTCGGGCTGTTTTCTAAATAGAACTTCGCATATTGAAAATAGAGCTTACAAGTGATAACCAATAAATACATTTTGGTCGTGCTGTCTTGCCACTTTGAGGTTTCTAATGACACACTATGGCCTTTAAGTTCAAATAAACACGCAAACAATTTCTGTGGGAAGGGTGGAGGGCAAACCTGGTAAAGAGAGAAGTGCGAGTTAAAGTGCAAAGGTTTAGGAACGTACATGGAATGCCAGGAAAAGGAAATGAAATTTGCCCACAGTGGAGTGTTTCTGTAGGGCGAGTTAAGGTTGGAAATGTGGACAGAGCTGAGTGTAGACAGACAACCTTCAATGTCCAGCCAAAAGACTTTGAACTTTGTCCAGACATTGGATCTGCTGAAGGTGGAGTGAGGGATGTTAGAGACATAGAAGGATGAGTAATTTTTTTTCTCCCATGAGATCTTTAATGTGTAGGATAGTGACAGGAAGCCATTTACTTTCAAGTAGTGGAAACTTCCATTTGAAGACTTTAACTCATCCCCAAACCTGCTTGAGACACGTGTAGGGCAGTAAAAATTGCCTAGGTGATAGTGCCTTACTGCCAATTTTGAGCCCACTCCCTAAAAATACCCTTCAGTGGAAGGGTGAAAGGACAATGTGTTCATCATTACAGGAGATAGAAAACAAGGATGCTGTAATAACACCTATTGAGAGCTTGCTCGTGCTAGGAACTGTAGTCAATGCACTGACTTTTTACAACCCCCCAAAATTATTGTCTTTATTTTATAGATGAAGTGCCTGAGTCCTTGAGAAGTGAAAATAGTTGCCCAAGGTCACACAGCTGAGTGGCAGAGCTAGAACTGAAACCACAAGGTTTGACCCTGCAGGCCAGTGTTTTAAAATCAAAACACTGAACCTTTCTGGGGTTACAAATAATTTATCCATAAATTAAGGGAATAGACATTTTAGGAAAATTGAAGTTACTTCACCTAGTTAACACTAGAATTACTGCCTCAGGAGATCCGTGCTTACTGGTTTATTGCCTGGAGACTTGAGCAGGTCTGAAACTTGATAGTCCTGGTATCTCTGACACTGTGAGTCCCAATCCCCACTCCCTCTTTTTTACAAAACAATTGCTGCATTAGTAAGACTCCAAGCTCCCACAATTGTGTTGGATGGAGTTCTTCCCTTGGTCCTCCTTCCTGGGTTCACATTACATGGCTGCTTTTTTCCTTTCAGTCTTTCAACCTGATTTGGTAGCTGGAATTCTGTAATCCTTTTCACCCTTTGCCTGAATTCAAACAATCTATTTGCTGCCTGGTTGAATTTGGCATTCTTTCCACATATTTACTTTGTGGTTATGAATCACAATCTTAAAATCATTCTAATGACATGAATAATTTTTCATCAGCAAACTGCTATTTTGTTTTTGGCCATAATTTCTTTTTTTGTTGTTGTTTTGTTTTGAGTTGGAGTCTCACTCTGTCGCTCAGACTGGAGTGCAGTGGCCGTTCCCGGCCACCGCAGCCTCACCTGCTGGGCTCCGGCAATCCTTCTGCCTCAGCCTTCCGAGTAGCTGGAACTACAGGCGCGTGCTACCACTCCCGGCTGATTTTTTGATTTATTGTAGAGATGGAGGTCTCGCCAAGTTGCCCAGGCGGGTCTCGAACCCATGGGCTCAGGCAATCCACTCACCTCAGCCTCCCAAAGGCGCGGGATTACAGGCTGAGCCACTGAACCCAGCGGCCATAATTTCTTTTTTGGGGGGTCAGAGCCTCACTCTGTCACCCAGGTGCAGTGGCATACTCACAGCCCCCGCAGCCTCAGCCCGCTGTGCTCATGTGATCCTCCCACCCCAGTCTTCCAAGTAGCTGGAACTACAGGCACACATCACCATACCCTGCTAATTTTTGGATTGTAGAGACAAGGTCTTGCCAAGTTGCCCAGGCTGCTCTCGAACTCCTGGACTCAGGCATTCCTCTCACCTTGGCCTCCCAAAGTGCTGCATTTACAGGCATGAGCCACCGTGCCTGGCACGTTTTTGGCTCTAATTTCTTGGTGTTAGGCACTCTTGACAATATGAACTCTGCTTAGATTTAAAATTAGTGCATGCATTTTGTTTGCATTTTTTTTATTACAGTAAGGAAGTTTTGAGTTCAACTACACTAGTCATAAGTATAATCTTTATTTGCCTTTGTATTTTACTACTTTTCTCAAAAAAAAAAAAAATCAACTCTTCTCATTTGCACGTTGACTCCTGTAAATAAGGCTTGGTGAGATTGGCTCACCACTGCTCCAGTGATCCCTAAAGAATTGTTTCCAGATCGATCTCTGTGGAATTGTTTCCATAGAGATGGTTAGAACTAAGGACTCACAGCTAGCTGCTTTCGGGATTTTTTTTTCCTCTTTTTCTTTCGGTCATTCCAGTGCTTTCCTTTTAGCATAGAGATGAGCGGGACCATGGAGAGAATCTTGTTAGAGGCCAAAATGAGAGAAAAGATGAAAAAGGAGAAGGAAATAGAAGTACTCTACCACCCGGTGGAAAATAAGACAACAAACATGTGATTATGTATTATACCCTCAGGATGAAGAGGAGAGGAAAATTCCATGCAGAGCCTGAGAGAAAGAGACATTGAAAGAGATTGCACTCTTCTGGGGGAAAGGAAGGCACGTTAACAAAAAATTGGTTAAGATAGTTGTTCACGTGCCCTCAATAGCACTGCACTTTTGAAAATAGAATTATCATAATTATTTGCCTATATGAAAAGCAAATAAACTACCAATGTAACAAAACCCACAAATTTCTAGGAGGGTGTCTAAGTAAGGTTAATGCCTTCTGAACACTAAATCCTTCTCCCTAAGGCTGTGAAATGCTTATTTTTTGATTTATATCATATGTGTCTACTGTCTTTAGAAAGTACTGATCTTTGTCATGATTCAACATTGTTTCTCAAGAAAAGGCTTACTTACACAGTTATATTCTTGATACTTTTTTGTTTCTCTAAGTTAACAAAGTGTTCATCATGGTACTATGGAAACCAGAAGGCCTCATCCAATCTTAGTAATTATGATACTAAGTAAACAAATGGAAACTCAAAAGGACAAAAATACCTAAACACATTGTTTTTCTAATTTTTGAAAATAATTAAAAGTATCGAACATTCTTTCTATTCCAGTGGATTGCTGTGAAGGCCAGAGAAACCAGCTAAAAAGGACAACTGTAAGCCCTAACCCAACAAATTACTGCCTTTAGCATGTCATAAACACATTGGTAATTTAGAAAATACAACACGAATAATAGAGTAGGAGACCATTTCTCCTAATGTGATTTTTGAGCTTCTTAGTGGTAGATAAAAATACAGGTTTTGGCCAGGCACGGTGGCTCAAGCCTGTATTTGAGAGGCCTAGGCGAGAGGATTGTCTGAGCCCACAGGTTTGAGACCAACCTGGGCAACACAGTGAGGCCTCGTCTCTACAATAAATAGAAAAATTAGCCAGATGTGGTAGTGCATGCCTGTAGTTCTGGCTACTTGGAAGTCTGAGGCAGAAGGATTGCCAGAGCCTAGCAGGTTGATGCTGGGATGGTTGTGAGTGTGCTACTGGACTCCAGCCTCAGCCTCCTCTCACTCCAACGGAGTGAGACTCCAACATTAAAAAAAAAAAAAAAAAAAAAAAAAATATATATATATATATATATATGTATGTGTATGTATATATTTCATCACTTATGTACCTATGCCTCTCAGTGTGCAAACAGTAACAATGGTCACACTGGGAGTGGGGGCACTTTAAGTAATTCATTTTCACCACAACCTAGAAAGTTTTTATTTTATGGACCAAGAAATTGAAGAATCAGGAGATAAAGTAATGCTCCCAAGTTCACTCTTTGCCCCTCCCCCCCCAAATCAGTGGCAAAACTTCCACTTACCTTCATAATGAGGGAATCAGACCTAAGTTCCAACCTCAGTTCTGACAACAGCTACTAGTTAATTGAAGTAATTAACTTTTTTAAATTTCAGTTTCTTAATCTCTAAAATGAGTTGTTAGGTTATTATATAGGGTAGAGATTTGTAGTTGAAATAACAATTCTAGTCTCAGGCGTTATATGTGTGTTTATCATGACATTGTTAATGAATTTGATTCTTTCTTGTTCAAACTATTAAACAGTGAATTTAATAGAATTTTTAAAGTAAGCACAGTGTCCTTAGCACTGTGTTAGGAGCCAAGAAATTATTCCAGTAAAATCTGTGACTTATACGAATTCATCTGTGGACAGAGTAAGTAGTATTTCACAGGTAATGTGCTGCTGATTTTCCAATATAGGCAGATGCAGCTGCTGTTAATAAAATGGAAATTGATTTGAGAACATTACTGAATTCCTAGAAGGTCAGTATATATGTTTCCAACTATAAAGAAATACAACTACATAAAGTGAAGCTGTCTGTGACTTTCAAGAGCATATAGATCCATTCCATTCCATTCCATTCCATTAAATAGACAAATTATTTTAAACTATAGCAAGTGATAAGATAGAGTAAGCACAAAGTGTTTGGGGGAACACAGAATAGGGCCATTAGTGTAGCTGGGGCCTGAGGGAAAGCTTTCTGAAGGAGATAACTCCTGAGCTAAGAGCTGGAGGATAAGTAAAATTTAGCTGAGCTATGAAAGATAGGAAAGGCATTTAAGGCCGAGGACACAGTAAGGTCCAAGTCATAGATGTAGACTTGATAGAGGTGGGAACTCTAAGCAGTTGAAGCACCAGATCTTTGAGAAGCTTGTATTCCTGTGGAGCCTGGCTTTTGTTTTGAGGTTGATGATCAATTTAGTGTTTTAATTAGATCATTCTGATTAGAGTGTGGAGGATAGATTTGGACGGAAGAGAAGAACAACAGATAAAGTGAACATTTAAACTAGGACAGTCGTACTAGGGGTAGATATAAGAGGATGTCTTTGAGAAATAATTAAGAGCTCTTTATCAGGATTTAGTAATTGAGTAGGGGGGCTGTGGATGCGTGAGTGAAAATGAGTCAAGGATGAATTATCTTTGGCTTAGGGTTGGATAGTGGAAACAGTAAGTGACATAGGAAATATAATTAGTATGTTGATTTTGAGATACCATGTATAATCCAAGTGGTTGTATCTAGTAGGAAATTAATCTGGCGTAGGGATATGGTTTTGGCATTCATCAATATATATTTTACTTTTATAC